TTTCAATATCAATTAACTATCGTACCTAATTTAACCATTTCCCCCGAACCAGGGTAGGTCCCGGACCCACCCTGTTACCCTCTCCCTCCACCACTGTTTTCACGTCATCGTGGTACATATTCAACATGCTACTTCATATTGTTGATCAATCTCTAATATGCCCTGTATATTCTTTCACATGATATAATTTCATATCTATAACGTACCGTGATGAATAAAGATGGTAACAATTGAGAAAAAATATTTGATTAAACTACATGAATGTACAATCATTTTCTTTTATGAGTATGATTGATTTTGTGTGTAATGGAAGAAAACTCTCATTTTGTCCTACATAAAATACAAAATAAATAGACACCATTTACTTTCTAAATATCACTATTAGTTGTTTATATTTTTTATTTATTTCTATATTTTTTTATCTATACCAAAAAATTACATATTATAAATGACAACAACATATCAAAATATATAATAATCAAACTCTCCCGACCAAGTGCCGGGCCCGGTGCTAGTTTATGATAACTGTGAACACCAGAGGAATTTTACAATGCTATATAGCATTGGTGCTATAGGTTTTTACCTTTATGGTACAACTTGAAATTGTACCTTTAATGTTATGGTACAACTTCAGATTGTACCTATACTTTTTTACAATTTCTTTTATGGTACAACTTAAACTTGTACCTTATGTGATTGTACAACTTCAAGTTGTAAAATTGTACCATAACATAATGATACAAATTCATTTATGGTACAACCTAAACCTATACATTTAATGTTATGGTACAACTTCAAGTTGTACATTAAAGCACCAATACTATATAACATAGTAGAAGTGCTCGTAACACCATGTTAGCTTTTATATATGTTGTTGTTAACGTTATATCATTTGTACTAAAAACAAAGAAATATAGTTAATAATGATTTCATAAAACGTTAACAATTATCTACAAAATTGATAATACTAGTATTTTATATTGCTAATATATAAACTTTGAAAACCTTGCCCTAAAGCATAAATAATGTAATTTCTTGTCATTATTAGCTTCCATGATTTGCAGTATAAATGCTGAGATGTCGTTAATAATGATTTTGTAAAATGCATACTATTATTTAGAAAAGAATAATAATTATATTGCATGATAATCATGCAAATAGTTACTTTGTCTGTCAAATTTGCTATTAATACCAATAAAATTATTACATAAATCAAAATCACAGATAGCAATAAAATCACTACCGACATCATAACATGATCTACTAATTTAACTAGCAGTAAGTTTTTAGTATTAAAATTTTTATCGTAAGACTCTCAACAAGAGACAGGACAAATATATTTATAATATTAATTTTTTATTAAATTCAATTTTCCTGCAATACCAAATAAGCGCCCCGTACGTAGTTCTCCTAATTCAACTAAAATGTAATAAATGATGATTAGAATGTTAGCATGTTGAGTTTCCCTGTAAATCAATGATAATGTTATTCAACTTGTTAATATTTTTTAATTTTAATAATTCATTGATAAGTGTTTACGACAAAAAAAGTAAATCGTTAAAAATTAAAATAAAATCATTAATAATGTAATCATTAACAACTTAAATGAGATTTTTAATAATGATGTAGTATAAAATAATTCATTTTATAAACGTTAATACTGACATTACAAGTTAACAAAGAGAGCAAACATTTTTTATCTTGAATTTCCATTTTAAAAAATATAAGTATTAATTTTTAATTTATTAAATATTATTTTATAATATTTGATTGTATTCATTTTGAATTTTCATGTAATTACTGTCAAGTTTTGTATATAATACCCTAATTGTCCTTTTAAGTAATTAGATTACAAGCTTCTCTTTTTGTTTTTTATGCCAAATCAAAAAATTGATTAATACCTGGCATTCATCACAAATCCTGATGCGCCTCTCAAATCTATACACAAATGGTTTGGTATGAAATACAATATATCTACTACTTTAATTGAACCAACTATCAAAATCAAAGTGAAGGATAGGATCTCCACTTGCTCGATAGAGGACCTCTTCACAGATTACTTTCACTAACTCCTTTGGATTCTTAATTGACTTTGAAAATACATCCCAGAACATCGCTTCCGCCAAATATGGCTAAGAGCAGCACTCCACATCAAAAGACATAGTCTTTTCCTTGAGGACTTCAATTTCAACTTCTGCACACACCATAACACAATGCATGCCTTCCCACTCTCCTGCAACAGGTGGGGAGTTACTTCGTAAAATCCATCCACTGCAAAAACATACACAGTGTAAGAACATTGCACAAGTAAGTGCTCTCGACTTTCAACTCCTCCAGAGAATAATAAGCATAATCTTAACACGGATTTCCCCCAAGACTGGAGCTTATCTTGTGTAACCAGTTTGTTATGTAGTGCTAACTAGAGGATGAGGCCATGCTTAAGTATTACTTCTTTAGCCCATACTAGCTTCCACAGGTGACCTCTTGTTCATAGTGTCGAATAGAATTCCAAACCCTAGTAATAGAGTATCTCTACATCGGCTCTCCCTGCCATAAGGAATTAGGACTAGTCCCAGAAATAAGAGGGTAAGTGAATGCTCCAGAAAACAATTCCAGATCAAAGTTCCAGTACAAGTTACTGATATATCCCAGATAGTCTTCTCTTTCAACCTATACCTGGTTACCCAGGCTACCCACAGTGACCCCTCAGAGGACAAGATCTCTCAAATATGTCGCAAGACACTGGCTTTATTCCCTATACTAAAATTACGAATCGTCCCCCTTCCTTGGTTGTGCCAACTTATCCCAGACCATTACTGCCTTTTTCCTTACCCCATCCTAAGTTGTATCCCACAGATATTCATTACAGAGCCTCTCTACTTCCTTGATGACAAACTGAGGCAGCAAGAAAATATTGAGCTAAACTGGAGAGAGCTAGATATGACGGTAGTTATGAGCTGAATCTTGCCAACATAGCTCAATAACTTAGATCGCCAGCTTTTTAATCGTTGAGTAATTTTATCCACAAGAACTTGACAATCATGGTTGTGAGTTTTCCTGTAATCACTGGAAACCTTAAGTATCTCACTGGAGAGTTCCAAGAGGAAATTCAGAATAATCAGATATGGCACACATCTCCTCTTTGGTATTCCTTCACAAAATAGTTGGCACTTTGCTAGATTACATCTCAAACCCGAAATCTTATAGAAACTGTCCATTAATCTCCTAATTCCAGTAACCCCTTTTATTAAACCATTTGTAAACATCATGAGACCATCCGCAAAACACAAATGTGTTATCATAAGAGGTTTACATTTAGGATGAAAGGGAATATGATTCTCAAGCACAACCTTCCTAGCTAAACAGTCAAGTACTTCCATTGCGATTGTAAACAGGTAGGGAGATAAAGGGTCTCCCTGCCTCAGACCTTTACATGCTCTGATATTCCCATAGAGCGCCCCATTTATTGATACTCTTATAGTTGGAGTAGTAATAGAGGCAGAAAGCAGCGTAAGAAAACTTGAGGGAATATCAAAATTTATAATGTCCACTCTCTCTATGTCGTCTTGCAATAGCATTACTAACGTTTTGCAATCACATTGTCGATGCTTATGAAATGACTTAGTGTTGGTATACCTCATAATTATAAAAAATTTAATATACTTTTCAATTATTTAAATTTAATTTTTTAACAATTTTAATTTCAATTGCTAATGATTTACATTTTTCTAATAAAAAATTATAAAAGAATTATTAAAGTTATACCACATCGTCATTAATAAGTTGAATAACATTATCGTTGATTTACAACATCTTTTATTACACTTCATGTTTTCACGTCATTTCATAACTAGTCCATCATGGCTTCTTATTATGATTTCCAATGGAATTATTAAATTTTTGCGAAAAACTTAGATAGCTTAACATAGATGTTCTCAGCCATCATATGACTCATCGTTTATCTTCAACATCTTCGACACATGTGACATACTGCACCTGTGATTCAATCAAATAAACACGAGTTCATGGAGCTAAGTACAAATATCAGTCAAACAAACCAACATTCACAACCCATCAACAAACTTTTAATTACGATTAAGGATACCACAAATCATTGATAAAGATATAGTATTTTCTAGAAAACAAGCACAAAACAATAGTAATATTCTGACTCAAATGTCAAGTATCATCCAAAACATTCACATGAATGTTGTATTTCATTGAAAACTAAAAACATATTATGAATACCTAAGATGTTTTTTTTTTGAAAATTCAAGCAAAATTATTAATAATTATGGCATTGAATGGTTACTAACCATACCTTGTGTTATTAATAAATCCTTAAAAAAAATACTGACATACAATATTGGTATGAACAAATTGAACTTAATTGAAACTAAAATTATAGTTTTATAAATAATTTGTGGTGTTTTTTGTGTTCATTATTAACAACATATCGTATGTATTTAACATAACTCATAGAGAGTTTAGAATAAACTCTCTGAACATGAGCTCTGCTAAACAGTGAGGACACTATGGCGGTGGATGCTCCATCTGTCGTAAGGCCTGCTGAAGGGGTTGCGAACTGAGCTCCCCTGTCCTACGCAAGTGCTGTCGCCGGACCAACGATGAGTGCTCCCACGGGGTGATTTCATGGACACCGGTAGGCGAAAAGGACCTTGTCCAGGGCTTGTTCAATGGCGAACCTGAGCTGATAGTCTCAGCTGATCTCAAAGCTAAACTCAGCAAACCCTGGCAACGATGCCTTGTTGTTCGTACCCTGGGACTACAAATCTCCTTCACTATTTTCAGCAGCAAGCTACGGGCTCAGTGGCGTCCGACAGGTGCTCTGGAGATCATGTTCCTAGGGCAGAAGTGTTTCCTTGTGAAACTTAGCAATGATGCAGACTATTTTCGGGCGCTTACTGAAGGCCCGTGGACTATTTTCGATCATTATCTCCTAGTTCAGCAATGGACTCTCCAACAAGCTGCCGAGCACCATGACAGTTTGGGTTCAACTGCCGGCGTTCCCATTGCATTTTTACCACCGGGAAGTTCTGTTCTCAGTGGGAAACATGATCGGGCGGACCATTAAACTTGATTATCATACCCTACATCAACAGAGGGAAAAATTTGACCGGATCGCGGTAGAAGTCGACTTATCCAAGCCTCTGGTCACTAGGATTCGACTAGACGGTGCATGGCAGTACCTAGAATATGAAAACCTGTCGGTACTCTGTTTTGAATGCGGCAAAATTGTTCACACAAAGGAGTCCTGTCCCACCCTAAACCGGCGACCCCTCAGCTCGGAATGGTGGAATTCGGAAAACCGCCGGAGCCGGAGAAGGCAGGCTCGCCGGAGGAGGAGAAGATCGATTTCGAGCCATGGATGGTAGTTACGCGAAAATCGCTGAAGGGAAGCAAAAGCCCGGAGCTTGGAAAAGGAAAATCGACCTCTGATCATATAGAAGGCGCAATTCAAGAGAAAGGAGGAAAATGAAAAAATACCAACAGGGAAATCTAGCCTGGCACGGATCAAGCAACAGGAAGCAAAAAGCAAGCATCCCAACGGGCAGATACCACCAACGGCAATGGAAAATTGGGGAAAGACAATATAACGGCGGCGAAGGGTTGCTTGGGCCGGCTCCCCAACTCACACAGACCAAGTCTCCTAAGCCCAAGGGAAAGTTAGCCCAAGAACACCTTCAGACGGGAGGCCCTTCAAGCTCAAAGACTAAGACTAGCCCAAGTGCAGGCCCGAAAGGAGGAAACCAGCCTGCAATGCAGACGATCCCTGGCGCCCCATCTTTGACATCGGTCCCCAACTCATGTGGAATGTCCATCTAGGTTGTCAATCTCTCCCCCTCCGATCCTGACGCTGGCGGACAGTTGGCGGCGGCGACCCCTTCAGCTTCCGCTCGCACTAAAAATCAAAAGAAGCACCGGAAGAAACTCCAATCTCCAACCAAATCACCTCGGCCATTTGCAGCGAAGGCCCTCCAGATATGGACACCAGTGAAGGACAGGAAGCACAAATCTCAATCCAAGCTAGCCGCCCTTACGCTTCAAGAAATCGAGGCATGGACGGGGGCTACCAAGCACGCGGAGAAAACGGCAACCACTCCAGAACAGAACAGCGGTGGTGAAACGACGACCACTGATGAGAGCCCAAAATCAATTGAAACATGAGCATACCTCCCTCCCGACCCTTGGCCATCTTCTCTTCCCCCTCTTTTACTTTTTACATTGTTATCATGTCTTTTGCTCATTTGCTAAATGTTAAAATCTTGGCTTGGAACATTGGTGGCGCCGGGAATCCGGCTTCTGCGAGGGCTCTCAAGCTCATTGTCAAGAGCTGCAAACCTGACTTTCTTTGTATTTTGGAACCTCAGGTCAGCGGAGATTCGGCCAACAAAATTTGTGAGCGGCTAGGCTTCCCAAATGTCATGAGGGTGGAGGCGGAGGGGAGGAAAGGAGGCGTCTGGCTCTGCTGGAATGCTGCCAATTTCCAACTCCATGTTCTTTCGGCATGCTCCCAACACCTGTCTGTCATTGTCTCGTCCGGTTCTTCTCCCAAGTGGTTGCTCACCGCTGTCTATGCGAGCCCCCGCCAGCTCCAACAACACACTCTGTGGCAAACTCTCATCCGCACAAGCCTCTCCAATGACCTGCCGTGGTTGCTCTCTGGCGATTTCAACGCTATTTTAGCCCCAGAGGAGAAGTCTGGCCCTTCCTCTCCAACCACATTGTATAAATGTAAAACCTTCAGCAGCAGGATCAACCAAGCGGAGCTGATCAATCTGGGTTTCTCAGGGCCTCGGTTGACTTGGACTGGAGGAGATAACCCCAACACGTTCAAAGCGAGCCGGATTGATTGAAGCTTGTGCAACTCCCTCTGGAACTCAACCTCTCCTGACACCACTGTCACCCACCTACCTCGCATACATTCAGACCATCATCCCACACTTACCACAGTCGGAAATCAGGGAGTTAGCCCTTCAATCTCCTGCCCTTTTCGGTTTGAAGCTGCGTGGCTAACTAGTGACTCCTTTGATCAGCTGATTGTAGGGATTGGGATCACCAAGCGCCTCTTTCCGTAGCCTTGGAGAAGCTGGCTACCAGCCTCAGCCAATGAAATATTTCTTCTTTCGGCAATATCTTCTATAGGAAACGCCGGCTAATGGCTCGCATTCAAGGAATCCAAGAGAGGGTTGCCAATTGGTTCTCCCCAGGCCTCTATAAGCTGCAGATCAAACTCGAAAAAGACCTTGACCAGGTGTTAGAGCAGGAGGAGCTCTACTGGTTTCAGCGATCGAGGGAAAACTGGGTGCAACACGGAGAACGGAACACTAGCTACTTCCATAATCAAGCAATCATTCGCAGGCGCAGAAACAAAATTGATAGGCTCAAAGGGGCCAATGGGGAGTGGATCACTGATCCCCATGAGTTGGCCATGCTGGTTTTTGATTTTTTTGATGCTTTTTACCTGCAGGAGAATGATATCTACCAGGATCTTATGCCAAAGATCGCTTTTCCCCGTCTTGATCAGGAGGAGATGGTGGCTTTGCTGAGACCTTTTCGAGCAGAAGACATACACCGAGCAATCCACGAGACGAAGCCATTTCAAGCCCCCGGCCCCGATGGCTTCCATGCTGCGTTCTACCAACGAGCATGGAGGGTGATGAGGAAATCCTTAATGAACTTGGCTTTGGACTTTTTCCATGCAGGGGGGATACCGGAGAACATAACCGACTCAAAGGTTGTCCTCATTCCTAAAGTAGAGCACCCAGAGATGGCTTCCCAGCTCAGACCCATCTCCCTCAACAATGTCTATCTGAAAGCAATCACCAAGGCGATCACCAACCGGCTGAAACCCATAATGAGAAAGTTGGTCTCCCCCAGGCAGAGCAGTTTTATTCCTGGATGGCAAACCACAGATAACATCATTGTTCTCCAGGAGGTCGTCCACTCCCTGAAGAAGAAAAAGGGGAAGAAGGGAGGGATGGTGTTGAAGATTGATCTTGAGAAGGCTTACGACCGTCTGCAGTGGGACTTTCTCCGTGACACCCATAAAGAAATTGGTCTTCCTAGCTCGTGGATCAGCTGCATTATGTACTGTGTGGAGAATAACAGGATGCGTCTACTCTGGAACGGTGACCTCTCTCAACCCATTATTCCTAGCAGAGGAGTTCGTCAGGGAGATCCCTTATCCCCTTACCTGTTTGTGCTTTGTATGGAACGGTTATCTCACAGGATCGATCAGGCTATTCACGACAACCTTTGGAAGCCACTTAGGTCGTCCAAAGATGGCCAGTCCATTTCTCACCTCTATTTTGCTGATGATCTAGTTTTGTTTGCAGAAGCAGGGGGAGCCCAAGTCAGGATAATTAAGCGATGCGTAGATGAGTTATGCAGCAGCTCGGGGCAACGGGTGAACTATCATAAATAAGCTATTTTCGTGTCTGCTAACATTCACAGAAGACAAGCCATTGCCCTAAGTGAGAGCATGGAGATACCGCTCACAGTGGATCTAGGCAGATATTTGGGAGTCATGGACATCCATGGCAGAGTGACACGAGGCAGATACCAAGATCTGGCCCTCAAGATCCAGAGAAAACTCGCGCCTTGAAAAGCTAAGCACCTCTCCCTTGCCTCTCGCATTACCCTTGTTAAGTAGATTGCTTCGTCTATCCCTGCGTATCCTATGCAGGTAGAGATTATGCCGAAAGCAGTCTGCAAGGACCTGGATAGAATCAATCGCAGCTTCCTCTGGGTGACTCGGAAGAGAAAACGAAACTACATCTTGTGGGCTGGCAACTTCTGACCCTTCTGAAGGATCAAGGAGGATTGGGTATCCGACCCTCCAGAACGGTCAACCTGGCAATGTTAGCCAAGTGCGGTTGGCGGCTGATGAAGGAGAAAGAGACCCTATGGACTCAACTGATGCGCGCCAAGTACGGAAAGAACAGGGATCACCTCGACATCATCAAACCCATAAAGGGAAGTTCGTTCACCTGGAACATTCATAGTGGCAATCATAGTGGCAATCTAACGGGAGTGCCTGGAACATTCATAGTGGCAATCTAACCCGTTTCGTGGATGAAGAGGGGACCTAGCGTACTGAGAAGTTCGAGGGAATTCTACCAGACAATGTGACTCAACAAATTATAGCCCTAGCAGTGGACCCTCTAGCAGGAGGAGATGATGTGCTTTTCTGGCAGCCCACTTCAGACGGCTATTTCTCAACAAAAACTGCTTTTCAGCTCATGCAGCCGAGTACCCCAAGCGAGACAAGCCAGATGTGGAAAGATATATGGAAGCTTCCACTGCCGGAAAGGGTGCAGTGCTTCATATGGGTTGTGGCACACGACAAAATCAGCAGTACCGTGCAGCTAGTGAAGAGGAAAATCGTTTCCTCACCCTGGTGCTACAGTTGCACTGCTCAGGAGGAGACCACGCTCCATATTCTCAGGGACTGCCCGACAGCTACCTTCCTCTGGGCTCGCACGGTTCTTCCCGAGAACCAGCAAGAGTTCTTCAATCTTCAACTTAAAGAATGGCTCGCCAAGAACCTGCAGATTGAGACCAGGGGGAATGTCGAGACTCCTTGGAATGCATTCTTCAGTATAGCCATTTGGAATCTTTGGAAAAACAGAAACGAAGGGGTGTTCAAGGGCATCGACAAGACTCTCTCACCGACCTCTCTTACCCAAGCCACCAAGATCAAAGCTATGTTGTGGCACAAAGCTTGGGTGGAGCCTAAGAGCATCATTGGTAGGCGGACAGCCCCAACACAGCGAGTACACCGAGAGATTAGCTGGATACGTCCCCCAGCTAGCCGGGTCAAGGTTAACGTTGACGGCGCTGCGAATGGAACCCAGGGACCGGCAGGCGCGGGAGGGGTCTTGCGTAATCACCATGGGATTTAGATCAAAGGCTTTGTTGCTAAACTGGGCACTTGTTCAGCTATTCAAGCGGAACTTTGGGGAATCTATCACGGTCTGGATATGGCATGGAACGAGGGCCGCAGGGCTACCATCTTGGAATCAGATTCACAGATGGCTATTCAACTCATAGAGAAGAGAACCGACCCAGTGCATCCCCACGCGACCCTGTTGGCAGCAATAAGACGCAAGATAGCTCGAGATTGGGTGGTGAGGATCATCCATACTTACCGTGAAGGGAATAGAGTCGCGGACTGGCTCTCGAAGCACAGTCTCATCTATCCCTATGGTAAGTATGAACTTAAATTACCACCAAATGGACTCCATCATATCATGGGCGACGATGGTAGAGGGCAGTCTTTCCTCAGAGAGGTTGTAGATACCAATGGAACCTCCCTTATTCTGTAACTTCTCCCCTCCCCCTTTTTGTTTCTGCTTCTGTGGCAGCTATG